CAGAGAGAGTTAAAATCACAATTTTGTTATTCAGCTTCTCGATCCCGTGTTCAGTGGTTGGAGAATGGGAAAGACACGTGGAGGATTTGGGGAAAGACACGTTGGCTACTTCGTCGGTTCTCTCGGTGTGCTTACGTCATCAGCTGCGTTTATTGTGCGGTCGTAATGTGAACGCTAACGATCATACGGACCTTTTTATTGTTGTCCATATTCAGGACCTATATTGGTAAATGTCCATAAATTACGTAGTAGTTATCTTGTTTTAATGGTTTTTTGTATACTCGAATTTTACAAGTTCATTTTTTTTTGCGTATACTTTCAACAGAATCCGATCAAAATGTCAATTTTTGAATCAGTCTAACGCTCGTAACTATAAATTGCAATCCAAAATTTTATCAAACATTTCAAATGAACAAAACCCTATAGCTCAATAATTAAGTAAGCAAGTTATCATCTGACATTAACATAAAAATACATCAAAGCCAATTTAAGAGACTTAAAGCATACTGTCCGTTCGAGCAGGTAACCGGCGGAAGAAGTTAATCGGAACAGAAGGAAGCCGGTGCCGGAACCTCGGATGCCTCATCATAAAGAAACCAGCCAACGCAACAACGATCTGAATCGGTGTTATGAAGAAGACAATGGCCGCCAGAAAGCAAAATATAACAAATATCGCGGTTGCACGAGGATCTCTCCAGCTTAAAAGTGCTTGAAAACGCTCTCCTTGTGTTGCAAGATCTCCAATCACGGTCTGAATCCTCCCGGCCACGCTTCGTAGCCGGTCATACCTCAACCGCACCATGTCAGGGTTTCTGCTTGTAGGGAATGTGTCAAACTCTTCATCAAGCTCGTCTGCGTGGACCGCCTCGGCTTGAGAGATTTTCGTGTTCATGTGTGGCGGATAACGCGGTCTGAACCGGTAGTTCCAGAGACCGATCAAAAACATATAGAGAAACATTGTCGGGAGGATCAATTCCGGGAGACAAACAAGCATCATAAACAGAACATGAACGAGAACGGTCGTGATCGGGTTTCGCCACGAGCAAATATCGGAGAACCATTTCTCAACTGCTATAACGCCGGAGAAAACAGACATCATTCGGAAGAAATTGGCTTTACTCTTACGCATACTCCACAAATGCGAATCCGTGTCCGACATAAACTCAATGATCTCTTTCCGCAGTGGAGGCTCTGCTCTGCCTAGCCGCGCAGCCACTATATTGACCGCTTGGTGTCGGAGCATGTCTTGCTGCATAACCGAAAACGGCCTAACGTAATGCATTTTCGGCAAAAGTGGTTTTGAGTATTGGTAAAGCATATTTGCGAACGAGATGCATGTGAACCTCACGGCCATATGCAGCTCGCCCATTTTCTTCACCCCAGTAGGATGAAGAACAAGCAACGGATAAGAATGCGTGTAGATCCTTCCAGTCTCTAAAGTAGACAACCTAATACGGATCTTCCCAATCTTCACATCTCTGTTCCCCTTTTCGCCGAGCTGTCCGTTGTCGAACACACCAACTGTTAAAACCGTCGCTGGATCGAATACCTCCCATGTATACTGCTCGTTGTACTTGGGACTCAAGTTATCCACCATTGTCCTCGTTCTAACCCATTTTTGGCCGTATTTTGCAACACAGAAAGTGTCAGAGGTTCCTCTGCCCTCTCTTGATTTCATCGGGTGGAGTCCAACAGCGTTCAAAATCCCCAACTCGAGAACACCAATCGGTTGTCTCCAAAGCGGTCTCGCGGATGGGCGAAGATCGCTGCTGTAGTGAGTTGACTCATCTAAAACATGATATCCTCCTTCAAGACAAACTCGAAGATGAATCCTCATTGAGAATTTTTCTCTCTTGAGCTGATCCACATCTACAAGAACCGGTCTCTCGAGATTATACCTATTAAACACAATTCGACAAAACCATTCAAATCAAACCTTAAAAGTATTATATAAGATTCTCCATCTTAGCTAGAAACAATTACCATCGCGAATGTATCATATGGTCATCAGCCCGCTTCTCTACTGTATTTAAAGGAATGTAAGTACGGCCAATTATCTCGTCCTTCCCTGGAGCGACCCGGTCCTCGACAGTGAGAACCAAATGATCTTCAAACGGCTCTGCTACAACAAACAAAAAGTCTTCGTTCCACACGGCACCAAGGGTTCGAGCTTGGCACGGTCTGGTCTTCATGACCTGGTTTCCTAGTTGCGCTTTGACATAAACATCCGGAAATCTAGTTTTATCTGTTGTAACCAAGTCCTGCGCTTCGACTACATTTACACGCACGTACCATAGACGGGGTGCATGATAGACCTTTATATTAACCAAAACAAAAACACAAATAATCAAAATTTGCTTCAAATTCAATTTAACCGTCGTAAAATGATATTGTCATCAATATTTTAAACACTAATTTAACATTTGCATTTGCCTTTCCATGTTAAAATATATGTATTTATCTT